AGAGAGAGAGAGAGAGAGAGAGAGAGAGAGAGAGAGAGAGAGAGAGAGAGAGAGAGAGAGGGAGGGAGTTTTGTTTTTGTTTTTCAAGATAGGATTTCTCTCTGTAACAGTCCTGGCTGTTCTGGAACTTTCTTTGTAGAGCAGGATGGCCTCAAACTCACAGAGATCCTCTTGCCTCTGCCTCTTGAGTGCTGAGATTAAAGGCATGTGCTACCACCGCCCAGCTTTAATTTTATATTCTTTAGAGCTAACAGCATATTATCCATTTCTCTATAGAATTCTACTAAATAGTATAATTACATTCATATCCAGTATCATGTTTTGCACTAAAAGGTCATCTTAGAATTCTTTATTATGCATATGCAAGAAAAATAGTGCTTTTAGTTCAGCCAGAAAGTTTTCTTACTCTTTTTCTTGTCTGGGTGTCTTTGTATACTCAGGCCTTGCTTCTTAGACACCTTTGTTCCCCTTGTCTACATGGGGAACGACTGTTTCTTAATGGTACAGCTGTGGATGTCATATCCTCTAGATCCTTTCTTCACAACACCCACATAAAATACTCCCTTTCTTATAACTCCATCTCACCTTCCCAGAGCACACAGCATAAGAGTATATATATAACAGTGAGGGTGTAGCTCAGTAGATAAGGTGCCTGCAGTGTAAGCATGCGGACCCAAGTCTGGATCCAGACATGGCGGTACACATCTGTAACCCTAACACTGGAGAGTCTGGATCCAGACGTGGTGGTGCACATCTGTAATCCTAGCACTAGAGGAATGCAGACAGGTGGATCGCAGGAATCACTGGCCAGATACTCTAGCCAAATCAGTGAGTTTTGGATTCAGTAAAAGACCCTGTTGACAGCTACCGAAAAACTTTTGGTTTCCACATATGCACATGCATGAAAATGTACACACACATACCATACATAGAATTAAAAAGAATTGTAAAGTGCACTTGTTTAATCCCAGCCATTTGGGAGGCAGAGGCAGGCAGAGCTCTATGAGTTTGAGGCCAGCCTGGTCTACAGACCAAGTGCCAGGATAGGCTACACAGATAAACCCTATCTTGAAAAACCAAAATAAATAAATAAATAATCCATCTACAAAATAGAAAAAGAAAAAAACAATAATAATAAATTGCTAACAGGAATATAAATTGTTTCTGTGAGACCTAAGGAGTAAGCAATTTCAGTTCCAAAAGTCATTCAGATACCCATACTTTTTAATTTAGTTAATTCTCTTTTTGGAGCGCTACCATAAATCCTAACTATGGAAAAACTTTGCATAAGAATGTTTACCACAGCTACTATAAACAAACAAACATTTGACAACAAGTGTCAATGTATACAATTCAACATTAAAATTGTGTTTAGGAAATAATTTTAAGAAAAATAGTTATTATAAATAGCTTATCAAATATAAAACTGTCTATATGGCATTATCACAATATGTAAAATAGGCATAAAAAATAAAATACTGACTGGGCAGTGGTGGTGTACACCTTTAATCCCAGCACTCAGGAGGCAAAGGCAGAAGGATCTCTGTGAGTTCGAGGCCAGCCTGATCTACAGAGCTAGTTCCAGGACAGCTAGGGCTGTTACACAGAGAAACCATCTCAAAACACCAAATTAATTAATTAATCAATCAACTAATTAATTTTAAAAGTGAAATAAATAAAATACTGTTGGCCAAAACTGATTTCCTTGGATGGAGTGATTTCTTTTTTTCTAAAACTTTTCTAGATTTTTCTGAAATATCTGTAATAGAAAAAACGTATTTGTAGGAGGGAGGGATTGCTTGTTGGTTCCCAGCTAGCTCAGATCCGAAATAATCACACAAAAACCATATTATTTCAATCACTGCTTGGCCCATTAGTTCTAGCTCCTTATTGTCTAACTCTTACATATTAATTTAACCCATCTCCACTAATCTGTGTATCGCCATGTGGCAGTGGCTTACCAGCAAAGTCTCAGCACATCTGTCTCTGGCAGTGGCTCCATGGCATCTCTCTGACTTGGCCCCTTCCTTCTCTCAACATACAGCCTAGTTCTTTCCCCCCACCTAGTTCTGTTTTTCCCAGACACAGGCTCAAAGCAGTTTTTTATTCATTAATCAATAAAGCAACACATAGACAGAAGACCTCCCATACCACTTATTTACTTCTAAGTCAAGAAATAAAATTATTCTTTGTAAAAGTAAGGTCTTCAGGCCACTGAACATGAGTTCTGTGATTTGGAAATGGATGAAAAGACCATTTGCTGCAATTACAAACACCAGAGCACATAAAAACAAGCAACGAAGACAGTGCCAACATTCCCGCAGTCTGTGACCTAAGGAGTTCTTGTGCTACCTTTCCCGATGATGAGCAGGGGCCGTTTGGCATCTCTAATAACAGATGCTGCCATACACACAGCAGAGGTTTCGGCCATGCTCACTGGAGATGGCATGCAGCACTCCTTGTACCTAGAAATGAAAATGATGCTGTAATAATGGAAAGAGGCTAGGGGCTTGGAGATAGCTCAGCAAGTAAAGGCACTTGTCACCAAGTCTGAAGACCTGAGAACTCAGTCCAGTCCCTGGACTGCTGGAAGGAGACAGCTGACTCCATCAAACTGTCCTCTGACCACTAAAGCATGCATATGCACACACACACAAATAAATGCCTTAGGCTGAGAGTGGTGGTGCACACCTCTAATCCCAGCACTCAGGAGGCAGAGGCAGGTGGATCTCTGTGAGTTTTAGACCAACCTGGTCTACAGAGCAAGTTCCATGACTGGGTCTATAGCTATTGGGAAGCCCTGTTCTTTAAAAAATTTTTTAAAAAAAATGAGATCTATATTATCCAACTATCTAGACACACAATAAAATAGGGCATCAACCTCTACACAAGTTTAAAGAGAGGCTACATTTTCAACTCACCTAAGGCACACTGTCCTTCATTCACACACACACAATAGATGTCATCATGTCTGGTTCTAACAAATAGAAACTACCCCAGTATACTGAATATACTGACCACTGTATGTAGCTACTAGAGAACTATTTCCATAATAGCGAGGTCCACAAACATTGCATTTAAGAAATAACAATGAAACACGCTAGGCAGTGTTGGCACACACTTTAATCCAGCACTTAGGAGGCAGAGGCAGGCGGATATCTGAGTTTGAGGCCAGCCTGATCTACAGAGAGTTCCAGCCAAGGCTCTGTAGTAAGACACTGTTTCAACACACATATACACATTTAAAACAATGAATATTCATTGTTATGGATGTTCAATAAATAAACTACAGGAGGAATGTAACCTATATAATGTGTATGAAGGCTCAGGACAGTAGTGCACACTAGTAAACCCAGTACTTGGGAAGTGAAGGCAAAAGGATTGGCTTTGAAACCAGGCTGGACTACACAGTGAAATCAGTCTTAAATCTTCTAACTATAAATTCAACATGTTGATTAAATATGCATGACAAAAAGGAAAGGTACTAAATGTTAAAAATGTCAGGCCTTAGATAAAAGGATTTCTTTTGGGCTGGAGAGAAGGCTCAGTGGTCAAGAGCTGCTCTTCCACGACCTGTTGTGTATTTCCAGCACCCACAGCAGGTGGCTTACAAGTGCCTGTAACTTCAGCTCCAGGAGATTGGATACCTTTTTCTGACCTCCACAGATACCTGTACACATGGGCAAGCACTCACACAGATACACACATACATGCCATTGGCCATGCCAGAGGAGTAGCAAGTTGCAGTTGAAGTTCCAGGTGTCAGGCCAGCAGAAGGGAACCCCCTGATGGGCCAATCTCCTTTAGGCAAGGCCATGGGACTGCAGACCCTGGAATGACTTTTGCTTCCTCTGCACCTTTACATGTTTGCTGTGGCTCCCTTTCTCTGGTATCTAGCATGGTGTGAGTGGACGTGGGGAGATTCCCACTGCCTGTAAGTGTGTCTATTTCTTGGAAACATCCCATTCTACTGGGCATTTTTTTTACCTGTGGATTGTCAAGAAGATGATCTTTCCCTAAGCTGTACTGTCTACTTTGATAATAATAATATTGGCTTATACAGAGTTTTGATGATACAAGGATGTTTCACAGCCAAGGTCTGTGAGTCTCACCTAAGGAGCTGCATGGATTGTAGCTCAAGTTAATGACAATTAACAATCAAATTCCAATAGCTAGTTTAAATTCTTTAACCTAAATGTTGGGAGATGGGTTCATGGGTCTCAGAGTGCATCACAGCTGAAACAAAGCTTTGAAAATAACAAAGTTAGACTTAGATGTTTTTGTTAAGTAACTTTGAGGTAAAAAACCCAAGAAGACTATCTAAAGTTTTAGAAAGGAACATAGTTGAATGTGAAACTCTTTAAGGTCAGGAAACAAGAACAAGGCAGTCCAATTATAACTGGCTGATGGACTTTCATTGCTAGATTTGGATAATGACCAAAGGTGATGATTAATCCTTTATACCCATTTATGCCCTCAATCTCCTGATGTAAAAAACTGTTAATGAATGAATATGTACCCTAAAGATTTAAAGGAGAGCTGACTGATTCTTTTTCAAATATCAAAGTTTATATTTATTATTTCTTTAAGATTCCTTTCAAGATAAGTAATAAAGTAATTGGCCCGCTCTTTGTAACTGCAGAATGTAGCCTGCCAGTGAAAGACCTGACAAGAACAACATGCTTGCCACGTGGTTAATCTACAAGTTGTTTGGGTATGAATGCATGTGGGTTCTTGGGATAATTTGTATTTCACCTGTAATATATAAAATGTTTAATCATATGAGGGAGATTAAAAACATGTTTTTACCAATAATCTTTCACTTGAGAAATGGAACACAACTGTTTTGACTCTTGCACTGCCTGGAAGATTCTGCTGGGGTATAAAAGCTGTGAAACAACATGAGGAGAGAATAAACACAGAAATCACCAACAGAGTTTGTGAGTGCCTTTTCCCCTAACACCCTTCCGATAGAAAAGATCAGCTTCGCCAACTCCATGGACTCCTGCCAAAGCCTTGTGCTGCTGGAGGCTGGCCCCCCCATACAGCAGTACAATAATAAATCTTTTTTTAAAAGAATGATTTAGACATTTCTGGATTTCTCTAAAAATGTTATAATAGAAAAGGCATATTTTATTCCTAAGACTAAAGAAATACCACTTAGGGGGTTGATGGACTACGGTAGCATATTTATCAAGGTGAATGACAATTAAGTGTGACTTTTTTGTACTTCTTTTCACTCAAGGTTTATTTAAGAAATCAAAGTGAGGGACAAATCACAGAAACACTTCAGAACATTTTAAGTTATAGGGATGCTAGACGAACACTTTTTATACTAAATCCTAATAATGCTTTCATCGATCATCTATCTTATCTCTTGGCTTACAGTGAAATGCTTGTCAATGTGTGAATATATGTTCTGTGATTGATTTAATAACAAAACTGGCCAATAGCTGAACAAGATAAGGTTAGGGGGCGAGCCAAACTAAGGACACTGGGAAGAAGAAGAGTGGAATCAGAGGCATCTTGAGCAGATGCAGAGAAGCAAGATGAAAGTGCCATGTTGAAAGAAGTTGCAGCCACATGACAGAGGGTAAATAAGAAACATGGGTTGATTTAAATGTAAGAGTTAGCTAGGATCAGCCTGAGCTATTGGCCTACCATTTAAAATTAATAATTTTAATTAATTTTAACTAAATTATAGTTATTTGGGAGCAGCTGGTGAGACATAGAGAAATTCAACCTATATGTTAATAACCCATACGTTAATGGAGATGTATATCTGAGGCTATTAACTGGGTGAATAACTTTGAATAAGGAATCAGGAAGTTCCAAGTATTAGATTAGTAGTTAAATCGATAGACAGTTACTAAGTAATACCATTTAAATGAAGAGAACCAAGCCTTTTGGCTAGGACTCAGTTTAATTACAAAATCATCAAAAGTATTGAGACACTTGGAGATTAACAAACTGCTAGATAAATTCTTTTCGAAGAGTAAGTATGATAACACAAAACTAAGGAAAAATCTGAATAATTCTTACTTTATAGAATTCACATTCTCCTGGAGGATCACGAGATCTGCAGGAATGTCAACGTAACAAGCACCTGGCCGACCATAGATACTGCTTCTCACTGCCTGTGTTTATGACAAACAAAATGTCTCAATTATCATATTCTTCTTCAAGTTAATCTAAAAGTGTGAAGTGAACACTAAGTTTTCTTGAGGCATTCTTAGCTGGATAAAAGTTATAATTAAACCGGGCAGTGGTGGGGCACGCCTTTAATCCCAGCAGAGGCAGGCGGATCTCTGTGTTCAAGGCCAGCCTGATCTACAAGAGCTAGTTCCAGGACAGGCTCTAAAGCTACAGAGAAACCCTGTCTTGAAAAACAAAAACAAAAACAAAAGTTATAATTAAAATTGAAATGTCCTCCATTAACACTTATTTCTGAAAGATAGTTTCGTCTAAAGGGGGATAAAGAGTTCCTGTAAGGCCCTGAGATTCATGTTCTATTACACTTGAAGAGCATCCATTAGTCTCTGCTTCCTATTTATGCTGGATCATGAACTGAACTTTTACCCACTTCTTAACCTTAACTACTTGGCAGTGTTTTCAGAAACTGTGACAATTTATGATGTATCAAATTGATTCTGTAATGCATGGTTTTGAAATAGCTCAATTATAATTTCACATAAAGCTCTTGCTAGCTAACATTAATTTACAACATGTTACTTAATTAAGTAAAAGACGATCTTATATGCAATGTTCCCAACATTTTTTGCAAAAGCTTAAGAGATCATTACCCAGATAAATATTTATCTTTACTTTGGTTCAAATAAAAAGATAATTTAAGGAACTAACATACAGGAGAAACTTTATTCCAAAAATAGCTTGCTTTCCCTCTGTTTCAATAATTAAACATAATGGCAGTGAACGGTAGAATGCAAATAGCTTTTTAACAATGTCATTTTTATAGTCTGGGAATATTATCGCTCCATTATGAACAAAAATAGCAGTGCTGAAGGTGCTGCTCTACAGAGGAGTATGTGCTTGGCACATTACATGAGACACTGGGCCAATCTCCGGAGAGCTTTTCAGTAAATACTGTACCTTTTCAATAACAGAAGGAATATGCTCTATGCTGGCTGGCCGGGCAGAGAACTTGCTATATAATCTGCAAGCTTCAACCTATACAGAAAATGAAAATCATTTAAATTCAGATCACAATTATATTGTTCTCATAAAGGGAAGATAAAATGTTCAAGTCATTACTGCTTTTTACATTTAGAGGCAAGACAGAAAAAAAATGTGGCTTTTTTTTAGGTTATCTCAAAAAAAACATTCAAATCACAATCAAAGTCCTTTTTCAGGATGATTCTAGAATCAAAACATTATTTTCCTTTCTCAGATTAGCAAAAGTAAAAATAATATATACCATGTACCATAAAACAGGCAAACGGGTATTTGTATAAACTGCTGGGGGAGGTTAGCTGACAAGCAAGTGCCCAGCAAGACTATGAAAATTCACCTGATGCATATTACATCGTCTTCCATTTCTGCTGCTCGTCTTTTCATGTATTTTTTGCTCTGCTCTGGGAACTGGGAGTTGGAAGTGCTACCTCTACACTGGCTAATGAATGTACTTTGAGGAACATGGCGAAACTTGCCCTTGATGCTTTTCAGTATGAAATCTATGGAAAAGATGACAGCCCTAGTCACACAGGCTTGAGGGGGCCAAGACATCCTTCAGCTTTTTAGAATCTTGTGTTCATGGCCTTCAGTTTTAAGAACTTCCAATAAGAAAAGGATATTTGAATTTTAAATCAAACTGTGTTTTAATTTACAATCTAATAAACTTATTGTTTTAGGGAAATATATTTTAATGGTTGACATTAATGCTCTACTCCATGCTTCACATGACTGTAATTTTTAAAGTAACTTCATATTTTCTTTAAACTATTGTACACATTTATCTCCTCTCTGTATGTGGTGGTTTGAATGAAAATGGCCCCCACAGGCCCATAGGGAGTGGCACTATTTATTAGGATGTGTGGCCCTGTTGGAGGAAGGGTGTCAATGGGAGTAGGCTTTCAGGCCAGAGTCATTCTCTCTTCCTACTGTCTGCAGATCCAGACATGGACTCTCTGCCATGCTTCCTGTCATGATGAACCTGTAAATCAGTCCCAATTAAATGTTTTGCTTTCTAAGAGTTGCCATGGTCATGCTGTCTCCTCACAGCAATAGACCCCCTACCTAAGATGCCGTGAAGGTGGGAGTTGAGTATCCTATCATGTCTGTTCTGAGGACTAAACTCAGGTTGTCAGGCTTGACAGCAAATACCCTTTCCCACTGTGCTTTCTCACCTGCCCTAAAATTTATTTTTGTTTTGCTCTAAATCAGGGTCTTGCTAGCCTAAGATAGTATTAAATGCACAATCTTCCTGCCTCAGCTTCATAACTGTTGGAAATACTGGTGTGTGGCACCATATCCAAGACTATACTTAAATTTCCTTTCAATCAGCCGGGCGGTGGTGGTGCACGCCTTTAATCCCAGCACTCGGGAGGCAGAGGCAGGCGGATCTCTATGAGTTCGAGACCAGCCTGGTCTACAAGAGCTAGTTCCAGGACAGGCTCCAAAACCACAGAGAAACCCTGTCTCGGAAAACCAAAAAAAAAAAAAAAAAAAAAAAAAAAAAAAAAAAAAAAAAAAATTTCCTTTCAATCATTTATCAATTCTACTTTTCTGGATACATTAGCATCATTTGAAAACTTTTGTTACTGTTATAATTAACCAATAAAACTTTGTATTCAAGAGTATAAGGACTTGTACCGAGGGTAGCATTTTATATTAATGCAATATAAATTCTGTATGAAACTTTGAGCATGGGTCAGTGGTAGAGAGCCTATAGCATGTATAGTTCTAGTGCATTCCTGTTACAGGTCAACCATTCACCCTCAGCTGTTTGCATTCTATCACTATTTTTCTTTAGATTTATTTAATTCTGTGTGTAAGAGTGTTTTGCCTGCATATATGTATGTGCACCATAGATGTGCAGAGTATCTGTGGAGGTCAGATCCCTTGGGACTGAAATTATGGACAGTTGTGGTCTACCATGTGGACCTGGTAGCCTAGGTCCTCAGCAACAACAAGTGCTCTTAACTGCTGAGCCATCTCTTTAGCATCCTGCAAGTTATTTTTGAAGCTGTAACATTTTGCTGACAATTTTTTCAACTTTTGAAATACTTTCTTTTCTCCTAAAATAAAAATAAATGTATACCAAGTCTGATAATTTTGAGAAGAATTTTTTCTTTTAGCTATTTCTGTAGCGTTTTGAGGGTTGTACCCCAAACCCATTTTTATTCATATATCTATCTATTTATTTAAGCTCCTCAAGACAGAGTTTCTCTGTGTAGCCCTGGCTGTCCCAGAGCTTGCTCTATAGAACAGGATAGCCTTGAACTAAAGGCATGCCCCACCACCACCCAGTTTTTTTTTTCTTACATCTTTAATACTATGTAAAGGACTTAATTTCAGTTTAAAAATCAGGTCGTTTTGGAGGGGCTGGAGAGTTAAAAGCACTTACTGCTCTTCCAGGGGACCCGAGTTTGGTTCCTAACACCCACATCAGGTAGCTCACAACCGTCTGTGATGCCAGCTCCAGAGGTCTGATACCTCTGGCCTCTGTGGACACCTGCACACACACACCCACCCACACCCACACCCACCCACCCACACACACACACAATAAAAATAGATCTATAGGGGCTGGAGAGATGGCTCAGAGGTTAAGAGCACTGCCTGCTCTTCCAAAGGTCCTGAGTTCAATTCCCAGCAACCACATGGTGGCTCACAACCATCTGTAATGGGGTCTGGTGCCCTCTTCTGGTCCGCTGGCATACACACAGACAGAATATTATATACATAATAAATAAATAAATATTAAAAAAAATAGATCTATAGTAGCTAGAGAAATGGCCCACTGGTTAAGAGCAATGGCTGTCTTCTAGAGGACGCAGATTAGATTCCCATCACCCACATGGTAGACACAGCCATCTGAAACTCTAGTTCTAGGGGATCTGACATCCTCTTCTGGCCTTCACAAGCACTGTACACACACTGCACAGATATACATGCGGCAAAGCATCCAGACAAATAAATAAAATAATAAAAAATTAAGTCATGTCAATTTTGGTATAGATCAGCAGATCTCAAACTGTGTGTCATGACCCCTTTGGAGATCCTTTCATACGGGTCAACTAAAGACCGTCAGAAAACACACATATTTACATTATGGCCCATAATAGCAGCAAAATTAGTTATGAAGCAGCAATAAAAATATTTTTATGGTTTGGAGTCACCACAACCTGAGGAAGTGTACTAAAGGGTCACAGCATTAGGAAGGTTGAGAATCACTGCTTTACATCTTTTTAATTCTATATATGCACATATATCTGAGTGCAGTACCCACATAGCCAGAAGAGGGCATCATGTTCCCCTACAGCTGAATTGCCCGTGGTTGTGAACCCCCCAAAGTGGGTGCTAGAAATGCTCATCTTTACAAGAAGTGTGTGTCACCACTGCCTGGCTTCTGGGGCTAACTAGTGGCTTGGCTCTGCACTCACTCTTCAGGCGAGCTTTACTTGTTAGATCACAAACAAAATTCCACCACATTTCATATTTTTAACAGACGTTATAAATTGTGTTTGTGAGAGGTTTTTGGTTAATGTGACCCAAACGAGGGTTATCTGAGGAGAAGAACCTTATCTGACAAAACACCTCCATTAAATTGCCTGTAGGCAAGCCTGTAGGGCATTTTCTTGATTAATGAAAGTGGGTGGGAACAGCATACAAGGCCACCCCTGGGCAGGTGCTCCTGAGTTGTAAGAAAACTGGCTGCGGCCCGAGGAGCAAGTCTTGCTGACCTGCTGTTCCTCTGTGGCCTGGCATCAGTCCCTGCCTGACTTCCCAGGGTGAGGAAACAAACAAACTCTCTCATCCCTAGTTGGTTTGGGCCACAGTGTTTCATCAAGCATCAGAAACCCCAGCCAAGACAGTGTTTTTACTTCAACAGTATGTAATCTTTGCTCGGATGGTAGAGCTGGGTACCTGAGGAAACTCCTGAAAGGCTCCCATTGTTTCTTGATTTCTTTCAGAAGAACCACCAATCACAATCAAGGGCCTGAAACAGCAATTTTTTAAAAAGACAGTTAGAAATGAGAATACAGAAAACATTCATCAGTGTCCAATGCATGACAATTATGAGTGACTAAGACAGAGAACAAAGAAAACTACATCTCCCTTGAAAACCTAGAGATTAAAAAAAAATTAAGATGTAATCTGATGGGCGAGATCCCACTCTCAAAAATCACAAAAATGGAAAACGTACAGTAAATGCTTTTCTTACATCAGCTCCCCCCTTCCATGTTAACATTAGGTTTCCAGGTACAGTGACAGAATCAACTTTATGCCTTACTATTCCTGAAATGGAGAGAAGAAAAATTGTATGTTCTTGACTAAACCTATTTGGAAATGGAAAAATGAGCAATAGTTCTCAATTTTCATTTCTCACGGCTAAAAAAGTTCTCCACTTTTTATTTCTCAAGGTTAAAAAATACATCAAACTTAAAGGTTTTTTTTTTTTAAGATTTATTATGTAGTGTTCTGCCTGCATGTGTGCTTGCATGCCAGAAGAGGGCACCAGATCTCATTCTAGACAGGTACTGGGAATTGGACTGGGGCCTCTGTTAGGGCAGACAGTGCTCTTTTTTTTTTTTTCTAAATTAATTTATTTATTATATACACAGCGTTCTGCCTGCATGTATGCCTTTAGGCCAGAAGAAGGCACCAGATCTCATTATAGATGGTTGTGAGCCACCATGTGATTGTTGGGAATTGAACTCAAGACCTCTGTAAGAGCAAGCAAGCATCCTGTGCTCTTAACCACTGAGCCATCTCTCCAGCCCGGAGTCAGTGCTCTTAATCCCTGAGGCATCTCACCAGACCCCAGACTTAAATATCAATTTCTAAGGTAGATATGGAAGAGGAAGACAAGGAAGGAAGACAGGAAGAAAGAAACACAGTGAAGCTCAGACAGACGACTCTGTGGGTGAGGGCAATTGTTAGCAATCCTAATGAGGTGAGTTCAGTTTCTGGCGCCCATGATGCAGGAAACAGCCAACCTCTGTGGGTTGTCTCCACATGCTAGGTCCTGTGTGGGCATGCACAAACACACACACGCACACACGCACACACACCCACACAAAGTGCAAAGAAGAAAATGTCCTTCACATTAAAAATGTTCTCAATTGATCAGAACATAATCCCCTTCATCCTACTATTACTGATAAAGTAGCTGAGAGAAGGTTAAATAAAGGAAGGATGGAGAATAAGCATTACACAATTTATAAAGCAAATTTTAACAAATCAAAGAATACAGTTGCTAACCAGGCAAAGCAAGATGATGGAAATACACTTCTACATACTGAACAAAGGTGTTAAAGACTCTCAGCTAGGAGTAGTGCTATAGACCTATAAACCTAACTACTCAGGGGCCTGAGGGAGGAGGATCACAAGTTTAAGGCCTGTCTGGGGCATGTGTGTTCAAAGCCGCCTAGACTAACTTAATAAGATTTTGTTACACACACACACACACACACACACACACACACACACACACACACCTTAGCTGGGTGTAGTGTCAAATGCCTTTAGTCCCAGTACTCAGGAGACAGGCAGGTCTCTGTGAGTTCGAGGCCAGCCTGGTCTACAGAGTAAGTTCCAGGACAGTATTATTATGATTATGATTATTCCAGACTAGCCAAGCCTATACAACATAGTGAGGGTCTAGGTTCAATATTTAACACATTTTAAAAGTAGTTCTTTATTTAGAACTACAAGCATGCTCACATCCATAAACATGAATACATACAGAGAATAAAACTCTAAAATGTTCAGTGTTTCTTTCTTAGTGATGGACTTAATATGTTCTTCCTAGCATTGCATATAATAAAGGCTACAATGTTTTGATACCTATAGTGAACTGATGTTATAGTCAAGCAAATCAACACTCACAATGTCACAGTTACCTTTTTATATATCACAGAAGTACCCCAATCTACATTTGTAGCAAATTTCCAGCATTCAGTACAATATTATTAACTCTTGTCCTCGTGCTGAACATTGAACCTCAGGCGTGGCAGGCACCCTTTGACCCCCATCTTCCCCATCTCCAGTCATTTCCCAGTTCATGACCTTCTACTCTGTTTCTAAGCATAGCAGGGTGGACTTTTGTTTTCCCCAAGTCTTTCCACTGTATATCAGTTCTACTTTTCCAAAACACACAAAGACACATTTAAAAAGTTTTGAGTAAGAATGATTTAATTACCAGCAGTTCATGTTCGCATTTGCCATGCCACCCAAGGCGTGGATGAGACCTGGGCCAGAAACCACAAGGCACACTCCTGGCCTACAAGTAAAGCAGAGTTATCAACAGCGTCAAACCTAACAGCAGAAAGAAAAAAAAAAGTGTGGATGCCAGACAGCTATCTCAGCTTCGAACACACCAAGTACCAATTTGTATTATGTTAGTTAGGGTTTCCATGGAAAGTTTCTGGTGGTCAGAGGAAAGACATGTAGTCTTCACTATAATTGGTAAACAATTATTAGAACATCTTAATTAAACATGAGTAACATCAAGTTTCTTTTAAGATATAATGTACATTATTACTGTCACATTGTATTTTACTAATCTTTCGTATTTTGCTCCAATCATTTTGGGTTGGAACAAGTTCACTGATTACAGAAGCAAATTTTTGACAGCCACATATATTATATATGGATTTTTTCATTTTCTAACAAATAAATATAATACACTCAATCTCCGTGAGGCGGTGATTCTAGATGCATGGTTTTCCTCCCCATCTTTCTGAATGCTTTCTGCTGACACAGTTCCTGACCTAAGCCACTCAGCAGTGAAGTCTTTACATTTCCCAATCTTTCAGACTTGAAGGAACACTAACAACAGTTCTAAGTATCCAGAGCAGTACCATCCCCAGCAAGCCCTACAGATGTAGACATCCTCCCTCCCTGTGCAATTCGACAGGTCATGGACCCCACACAGTCACTGAACACTTTCAGTGTGGCCACTACGAAAAAGCAGTTCTACTTAGCATCTTGGTTATTTTTAATTAAATGGAATAGCTACACATTGCTAATGCTACAATACTAGACAGTATAACTCTAAAATGCTCAAAATAAGAATTTCAAACTAAACTGTCAGTTTGTAAAAATAATCATCATTCCAGAATCAATTAAAGCATCAAGGACTGTAATTTAAATGCTTTCCAGGGTCAACAAAATCGCAGATAAGGCCATAGAATAGTTCAAAGACTGTTTCAGACAGCCTGGTTTTCCTCAGGCTCAAATTCAAAAGGTTTCCTCCCATTAAAGAGAAGGACTGTGAGCTCTTGCTTGTTTATATTTCTAGAATTTAATTACTAACTTCACTTTTAGAATTTAAAAAATCTTACTAATGCATATATATATATATATCATAAAAAGTATGGTACAAATTTTAACAAAGGCCCAAATTCCACCTTAAAAAATATGTGAATGTAGAAAAAAAGTAAAATATATGAAAAAAACCTTAGCGGTTGTGGGATTACAGTCATTTTAGTTTTTCTTTCTTATATATTTTCTACGTTTTCTAAAGTGGTTATTTTGAACAAGTATTACTTTTTAGTCAAAAGCGAGGGCTGAGTAATTATCTAACACAGAAGACAGGAATGTGCTCTAGCAACCTCATTGGGAACCAAGCCTTTTAGATGAAGTGGCCTAAGGAAGTTAAGGGTTACTTCTTACTAATACTATCGTCTACAATCTTTTCAAGCCAACTAAGTTGTGAGTTGACATGTATATTTCTACCCCAAACTTTTCGGTGTATTCTAATGAAGTAGACTTTAGTTACCTGCCCGTTAGGTATCCAACCGCAGAGGCAGCATAACAAGCCTACAAAGAAAGGGCAGCAGGACTGAATGAGACATAGAGGACTCTGGTATAAATACAAAAAAATCTAATTACTAAAGGATGAGGTAGCTCCGTCCCGACCCAGCCCACATCTTCTTTTAAATAATCACTCAGAGGCTTAATATCAACTGCAAAATGTTTGACTGAATAGCTCAGGCTTAATTACTAACTAGTTCTTACACTTAAATTAACCCATTTCTATTAATCTATATATTGAGATGTTACCGTGGCTTTTACAGGTATGCTGGCATTGTTTCTTGGGCAGCATCTCTCCTGACTCAGCTCTCTCTCCCTGTATTCAATTTGGCTTCCCTGCCTTGCTATAGGCCAAAGTAGCTTTTATTATCAACCAGTTAGAGCAACATATATTCACAGCATACAAAAGGGTTATCACAGAGTAAATTTGAGCTGGTCATGGTGGTGCATGCCTTTAATCCCAGATTAAAGATAGTCCCAGATAGAGACAGGCAGATCTCTGAGTTTGAGGCCAGCCTGTTCTACAGAGTGCATTCCAGGACAGTTAGGGCCACACAGAGAAACTCTGTCGCAAAAACACAATGAAACAAAAATAGTTGAGAGTTTACATAGGAAAGGAAAGGAAGAACTGGAACACTAACACTATTCATTTTTATGAGATGTGATAACCATAAATTTTAAGGAATGGCTTAAGTATCTAAGTATCTAAATTTTATTTTTTCAAGGAACGTTTCACTACTATTTGTTATTCATATTACCATCTTTAGAATCTTATAAGTCATTTATGTCTGTCACTCCACTTATGAAGGGTTAGTTGATTTGTTCACAGTCTGGTCTCATTACCTCAGGCTAGCTTTGAATTTGTTGTGTAGTCCATGATGACTAGCCTTCCAAGTCCTGGGATTTTTAAGGTTTTAGTTTTTCTGTATTGTTTCCCACTTCACTAGTCTCTGCTTATGCATCAATTACTTAACTTCTTCCCTCGAGTTAGATCTGATTTTCCTTTCCTAGTGTCTTGAGAAATAAGTGGACAGCACTGGTTTTAAACTTGACTAACAGAGTCACCTCAACTGCTTAGGCTGAAATATCTTAGCTACATATTATGAATTATATTTGATGTTCATCTTTTCAAATTGGTTAAAATATTTTCTATTTGCCACTGTGATTTCTTCAACTCATTTTTAAATTAGGGTTTGTAGCAAGGTCTGCATTTCTATCCCTCACACTGGTGATCCGTGTTTTCCTTTTTATTCCTTCCTAATCAGTTTGCTTGAAGTTTTCAGATAGGTATATGAGGCAGTGAGTGTGTTGTTTCTTTTTTTTCTTTTTAATTTATTTAACTTTATTTTGTGTGCATTTGTGTGAAGGTGTCAGATCCCTGGAACCAGAGTTACAAATAGTTGTGAGCCGCCATGTGGGTGCTGGGAATTGAACCTGGGTCCTCTGGAAGAGCAGCCAGTGCTCTTAACCGCTGAGCCACCTCTCCAGCCCTGTGCTGCTTCATTTTAAATGTGATTTTTTTTACTTATCCTTCTGTTACTGAGTTTTGCTTCCACATGGTTGTTACACATTATTTATTGTATGTTTTCAATTCTTAGCAAGCGATCTGTTGCAATTTTCTTTAAGGCCAACATGGTTTTCTATCTGTTTTGAGACATGATCCCACTGTGGTCCAGGCTGGCCTTGAATGCAAGGTAAGCCCCACAAACCCATGAGCTCCAGGAACCAGCTAGGAGTTACTACGCTTGGCCACTTTTCACTCAACTGTGCTTCATCCAGTGTATAAGGAAGATAGGGAATACAAAGTTAAATCAAATACAAGATGCCCAGGAAAAAATGCTGAGTGCATTTTAAAAATATTCTTTGTCTTTTACATTATAGTGTTACTTATCTCTTTTTTTCTTTGGTTCTTCAAGACAGTATTTCTCTGTGTAGCCCTGGCTGTCATGGAACTAGTTCTGTAGATCATGCTGGCCTTGAACTCACAGAGATCTGCCAGCTTCTACCTCCCAAGTGCTGGGATTACAGGTGTGCACCATTGGAATTACAGGTGTGCACCATCAATGCAGGCTAGTAAACATAGTTTTTAGGTCAGCAAAGTCTGGAGTCCAAGTGTTCTGATTCTGACCCCAGTTCCCCTCCATTCTACTGTTGATTTTGACAAGTTTCTCGGCACACTTGCTTCTTCATCTATAAGATGAATGCAGTTCACAGCACTGACAGGAGGATGAATCGGGGCTCTCAGACATGTTAAAGCACTGAGAATCAACTTCCTGACAATCTGTCCGCTTTCTGGCCACATGATCAATGTCTCAACTACTCTAAGGAGCTGATGAATGATAATCAAGCAGTACCCAGGTATATCTTTCTCTTTAGCACAAACATGCTCTTGAATCCTGAGTCCTCTTGCATATTCCCTTCATTAAACCCACCATCTTTCCTTCTAGATTGTTCCTCCTCTCTCTATTCTCAACCTCAGTCAGTAGAATCATCATTTATAGTTTGAGTCCCTAACCTAGCACTCACCTCCTTCCTAATAGGTAATGCCTACTCTTTCCTCAAGATAGCTCTGGCATTATCTTCTGTGGGACGCTTTCTCGGAAGACTGTATTTGTCTGTCTATTTAATTCTTTTGTTGTTGCACTAGGGAAATCCAGAGCACCAGGCATGTTAGGCAAGCACTCTACCACTGAAAGATAAAACAAGCTGTCCAAATCTCAGTTGACTGGGTTGGCTCCAAATCTGTGATTTTGTTTCACTCGAGTAGATAGAGATTACAGTTGTGACCACAGACTTTCCATAAGCATCCTTTGGCCTACCTGTCCACTCCTACGGCCTGCCATGCCTTTAAGCTATACGGACACAGCATGCAACAAACATTACTTCCATGAGTAATCTTCCCTGTCCTATCAGAGAACCAGCCACATACTCTGCAGCTACTATCTCTTCATGGATTCCTTTTGTGAGGACCATTATTCTAGATTACCTTCTTTTTGTCATGCCCCACTTTTCCCAGCTGATCAACTTGTAGTTGAAAAGTAAACCTTATTTCTTCTTTATATCCCTCTCTGCCACTGCAAGCATATAGTACATACTCAGCACGTCTAATGCAAGAAAAAGAAAGCAGTGGCAATCATACTTCCCCTAGAAAAACAGTAAAATGGAGATCAGCAGCTATACTTTCTCACGCAGGTAAAAAAAAAAAAAATAGAAAGTTGTCCCAAGTAAGAAAACGGAAAGGTAAGTGTACACAGCTCAGTGGCAGGGTGCTTGTTTAGTATGCACAAGGTCCTAGGTTCAATTCCTAGAACTGAAGAAAGGTGGGGGGGGCAAAAGAATAAGCAACCCAAATTCAATATCTACCAGTTTTCAGACTGAAAACGCTCCCTATAAATTCCAAACCTTGTTGATAAACATTTTTCAATTAGTAAATAATGTAGTAGTTATCTATATTATACAAATGCCTCAATCAAACCAGCACCATGGAGATAGGAAAATGAACCCTAACGCCTGCTGCACTGGAGCTCACATTTGAGGGCAGAGAAAATGAGGCAAGAGGGGGCAAGAGGGTAAATCAAAGGGCAACAGTGGAAGAGAAAACAGGACTCTGCCTCAGCAGGACTGACAATGTTTCAAAATAGATTCTTACTCTTTTCTAAGATTTACTGTGTGTGTGTGTGTGTGTGTGTGCCCATGGAGGCCAGAAGAAACCATCAGATCCTCTAGAACTGGAGTTATAGGTGGTTGTGAGCTACCATGTGGGTGCCAGAAACCAAACCCTGGTCTCTAAAGAAGCAACAAGTGCTGTTAACTTGAGCTCTCTCTCTAGCCCCAATTCTAGCTCCTTTAAATTATTTGTGTGTGTGTGTGTGTGTGTGTGTGTGTGTGTGTGTGTGGTCAGACGACAATGTGAATCAATTATCTCCTTCTTTCTTCCACGTAGGTCCTGGCCACTGAACTCAGATCATCAGTCTTGGTAGCAAGCACCATTCAACCCCTCCATCCACAGCAGATTCTTGCCAGTATTGCTGAGAAAGGGTAAGACTGGGCAGCCAGAGGAAACAATGTAAGTGGGATTACAAAATGTCCACTTTGCTTTTTCCCCCCGCTTCCAGATTAAACCCGGGTTCCAGTAAGAGCTTTACTGTCGCTAAGGTCTTTCAGCTTACCCCACGCCTGTTATGCAGCATGAGTCCTAGCCTTCAATGATCCATCCTGGAGATGCTCTCTGAGCCCTTGTCATGTATAGAGATCACACCAGATACTGGCAATACACATATGCAGCGATGAAGCAACATAGCTAGAATTTACAGCCTGATAGTGGCCACGGACCATCCCTTCCAGCTCTGACATCTGAGCACAGACCCAAACTCAGAATATCTGAGTGCCAATGCCATTACCAAATGACTCATATTGGGCAAGTTGGACTTAATCTCTCTGCATCGCACTTTCCTGTCAAGTAGGAACAGTGTGGTATGTGCAATGCTTTAGAGGTGATGGGACGCCGTGTGCAGCGAATAATTGCCATTCGGCCATGTCCACACTCACCGCTTGCTCATTCCTCATCCCGATGTACCTGATGCCCAATTCCTGTGCAGCAAGGGCGATTTCGGTCACGGGGATGCCTACGACACCGAACATGTATTCCACATTCTGGGGAGGGGGGGGGGGAAGAGGAATAAACGCAGATCACCAGGTGACCCAGTCTTCTTGTCCAAAGGGAAGGCCAACAGGACCCCCCGCCCCGCCCTCCTCCGTCTCTATGACAACGCGCTCTCTCTCTCTCTCTCTCTCTCTCTCTCTCTCTCTCTCTCTCTCTCTCTCTCTCTCCCTCTCCCTCTCCCTCTCCCTCTTTCTCCTCTCCCTATCGATCCACCATACTTGCGTTTTCAGGGCCTGGGCGATGACTTTAGCACCAGACACCTGCTCCTCGCTTCTATCGCTACCCTCTCCCGAGTTACTTCCCGGCATCTTCCACCTAAAGTTACTTCACGGGACTCCGGCGGCCCACAGCCTCACAAGCCTGACAAGCCTCAGAGTCGGCCGCACGCTATTGGTGACACCCGCTTCTGACCGACAGGAGGACAGCCAACTGCTTTTAGCCAAGAGAAGGGGCGGGACTAGGAGTCAGTCCTCCGTGAGGCGATAACATGAGCACGCCCATTCTCCATTCAGCCTTTGCCCGGTTCTGCCATCAGCGGGGGCGGGATGAACCGGAGACCGCGGCCTATGCCGAGCAGGTAAGAACCCCAACCTCCGAGGTGGCCCGCCGTGGTTTCCGTCTCCACCGGGGTAGCGACGGGGCTCAGTCCCGCGCAGGCGGGTAACACATCCGCACCTCGAGGGTGAAGGCTGAAGCCGACCACGTGGGGAGGGGGCGTGGCTCCGGCGCGCATTCCCCCCCCCCCCGCCCCTGCCGGGGCTTCTTGCTGACGGGAGCGAGCCGCGCGGAGGCTTCTGGGACGCGGCTAGCTTGGAGCGAGTGGAAAGTTGAGGAAAATGACCCATGGGTCTTGCTGTCATGCTTCGGTACCCTCCGATTTCATAACTCTGTGGTTTTGCACGCCACAGAATGTGCACGTTACTTAGGTCTGTGCTCAAAGGTCTACTTTTTTTTTTTTAATCATAGATGACACCCAGCTTGTTTGTTGAGAGATAAACTTGTCCAGAACATCCTTCACACCGCAGCTGCCCGTGCTCTCTGCCTGGTTTTTATTTATTTTTGTTCCTGTGGAGTATCACTAAGTTAATAATGTTGGTTGCTCTCGACTTACGGGTTCAAGGCGAAGCCTGCTGTCCATACAGCCAATGGATTCCTTTCTCAAAACAGTCACTACCAGAACTCTGTATGAAGTGCACACTTAACTCTCTGATTAGAATAAATCACTGTAATTCAGATTAAGGTTTTTTTTTATAGAAGAATTAATCTCCAATTGACCATATTTTGCCATTTAGCCAAGTGAAAAACCATTGAGCTGGTTCTTCATCTGCAGTCCACGGTACAGCATTTCATGCTTCCCTCGTTGCCTGTAGTGACTGAGCAGAAGCGATGTGAACACTGACTGGAAGGCCAAGAGTCACTCCTGTTGCATCCCACTGCACCATAGTAACCCCAGGATCTGTAATTTACACAAAGCACTCTGTGCAGGCATTGCACATGTTAATCATTGCACACATTAATCATGTTGGCAGTGTGTTTGAGATTTTATTTGTTGAATTTTGCCCTGGTTGAGTCAGACGTGGTGGTGTGTGCCTTTAAAGCCCAGCACTTGGGATGCAGAGACAGATGGATTTCTGTGAATGAGAGCCTAGCTACTTTACCTAGAGTGTTCCAGGACATCAGGGCTATGTAGAGAGATCCCTGTCTGAAATGACAAAACAAAAATAAAGAGGAAGAAAAAAATCTGGCATTTTAAAAATAATTTATTTAACTTTATTTTATGTGCATTGGTGTGAAGGTGTCAGATCCCCTGGAACTGGAATCACAGACAGTTGTGAGCTGCCATGTGAGTGCTGGGAATTGAACCCAGGTCCTGTGAAAGAGCAGCCAGTGATCTTAATCACTGAGCCATCTCTCCAGCTCCTTGGCATTGTTTTTAAGTTTACTTGTTGCTCAAAGGAAGAATAAGCTTTTTGTTTTGTTTGTTTTTTCTAGATAGGTTTTCTCTATAGCTTTGACTCTCCTGGAACTTGCTTTGTAGACCAGGCTGGCCTCGAACTCAGAGATCCACCTGTCTCTGCCTCCCAAGTGCTGGGATTGAAGGCACCACTGCCCCGCTAAAAGCATAAATCTTTTAAAAATGTGCTAGGGATTGAACTTAGGACCTTGTGCGTATCAGGCAAGCACTCTACCACTGAGCTGTATCACCAGCTCTAAATTTTAACTTTCTTAAAAACAGAAGGCTAGAGGTTTGGAGAGATTGCTCAGTGGTTAAGAGCAGTGGCGACACTCCACATGGCCTGAGTTTGATTTTCAGCACCCACATGGTGTCTCACAACCCTCTATAACTCCAGTTCCAATGAAACAGATGGCCTCTTCTGGCCTCTGAGGGCACCAAGCACACACATAGAACACAACATGCATGCAGGCAAAACACCCGTACACATGAAATAAAATAACAATAATAATAAAAAGAAATGGCAGTGTTGGTAACAAACTTCCCAAAGGGCAGAACCAATTGTCAGAATCTAAATAGTGATTATTTTAATGATCTAGATTTGAGATTATGAAGAGTGACTTGGCAACTTTCCTCCAAGTGGGTGAAGATAATATCTAGGTACCTGGGAGAAACAGTGAGATCTGTAGGTAGTAAGGTGAGGTGAGGCATGCCTCCAATACCTGTACTCAGGAGGCTAAGGCAGGAGGATCCCAAGCTGAAGGCCAGCCTGGGCTAGAGTGTCTGTCCCTGACCCAAAAATAAGTGATTAAAAAGAAAGTCGCAATATTATGCCCAGGAAGATTAACTTTCAGAAGAAGGCAACTTCTACAGGCAGTAATTCCACGGCCCCAGTTTGTGATGTTATCTCTGTCGGTTCATACGAACACTAGGAATCCTGACAACCCTAGCTGAACCTGTGACAAATAGGTCATGCCTTACCAAAAAGTGGTGCTTGGTTACCAAACAAAGAAGGAATTAGGATTATTTGTTAGTCCACCTTCATTTTGTTGTCGTGACAAACACCTGACCAAAAGCACATTCAGGGAGGAGAAGGAGTCATAGTCCATCTTTGAGAGAAGGTTGTCAGGTCAGAACTCAAGGCAGGGACTATGGGGGAACCTACTCGCTGGTTCACTCTGTGGCTTACTCCCTGCCTGGTGCTTACTGAGCTTTTTCATATAGCCCTGCACCACCTGCCCTATGAGCTGGGCCCTCCTGCCTTGATTAATGTCCATCTTGATTCGTCCTTCACAGATGTGCCCGCAGAATGGCAGCTACTTTATGCAGACACATTGCTCAGTTGACTCCAGGCTGTTTCAGGTTGACGATCGATGATAACTAGGAAATTTGTGACATATTATAGAAGGGCTAAAAAATCAAAGTGGCTGACCATCAAAACGGAAACTGAGTCCATATCTTCTGCTTTTCTGGTATGGGGATTGAACCCAGGGCCTTGGGCTTGCTAGGCAGCTCCTACACCTGCTGGGCCTGGGAATCGCGCAGATGTTAAAGAGCAGAAGCAGCTTTACTCCACCCCCGCGGGTACCGGAACTTCTAACTAGTTCGGGCCACAAGCAGGGGGATCCGCGTTGTGACCCTGAGCAGGGGGAGTTGGTCCTTTTTGAAGCAAAAGCTGCAAGTTGGGGGCAGGGTTGGGGTGATATAAGAAAAAGAATCTTTACAATTTGAGGTTAAGCTCTGGGTGACAATTTGGGTACATTCTGGGAGTTTACTTGTGATAACGTTTTGTAATTAGTAGTACAATTTGTGATAACAAGGTATTTGTACAAACTTAACAGGGTTTGTGGACACTTGCTTACACAAGTCTGTGGCTGTCTTAACACAACGGAGAGCTTAATTTTTAACCAACTATTCCCCCGTGACTGAGAATATAGGACAGTGGTCAAGCAATAGAAGAAGCTGGGTAGGTGGGTTAATAGTGTTCAGACTTACTCTGAGGTCTTCGTACCACTAAGCCCTGTTTTTACTCCTTTTTTGTTTTTTTCAAGACAAGGTTTCTCTGTAGCTTTTGGTGTCTGTCCTGGCACTAGCTCTTGTAGACCAGGCTGGTCTTGAACTCACAGAGATCCACCTGCTCTGCCTCTGGGATTAAAGGCGTGAGCCACCACCGCCCGGCCTGTTTTCACGTTTTTACATTAATACAGGGTTTCACTAAGTTGTCCAGGTAGGCCTTGAACTTTGGGTCTTCTTGGCTCAGTCTTCTGAGTAGCTAAGAGCACACCGCTATGCCACCTGCAAGTAAAAAGCCAAGAACAAAAATGAAAAGGAAATCTATATAGAGCACTATTTTTACAAACAACCCTTAAGCTACACTGCAGGAAATGCGCTGTAGAAAACATCAACAGAGACAGAACAGGCATCAAATAAGGGGTAAAATGGTTGCTCGGGTGTAACGGGCTAAGTTGATTCTGTTCGCTTCTCATTAAATTTATCACCTTTATAGTAGCAAAGCTTAGAGACAAGCTTGAAGCAAAACTGCCCATGGGAGACAACTTTAGACGCTGGAGCCGTCAGGGACAGCTTAGTAATAACTCAATAATAAAAGCTCCTGGTCCCCGTTTTGTTGAAAGGCACTAAGCACTTTCCCCTGGTATCCTCTGACCTAGAGAAAGCTGGATTCCTGCCTCCGGCCTGAACTTTGCCTACCAGTTTAATGCAGCCATGACCTAGCACTGAAGCCGGGAGAACTATGGAAAGAAAACAGAAAGAATGTGGTTCTCGTGCTTTGTCCATTCTGGGTTTGTTTTGTTCTCCTTTTCTTTTTAAAGTAAATTTGAAAGAGTTTCACATTAGCAATAACCACCGCAATGATATGTGTGCTATGAAGGCATAATGGCTCAGCATGTAGTGTTTCTCCTTGGAACAGAACTGCAAAGTCCCCAGGGTTGAACTAAGGACATTTTCATAAGGGACGACTTAATACCATAAACTGGTTTCTTCATCATAACCTTTGAGCCCTTTCTTGGGGCTTATCAGCAACTCATTGTTTTCTTATAGTTAATATTTATGGCATCTTTCAGACCCATGAAAGGATCAGAAGATACTACAAAGCTTACAAGCCAGCTTCTAGCTCAGGAAAGCCACACAGTGGGCCGGCCTCCTGTGTCCCGGCCTGACCGCATCTCCTTTCCCATCCCATAGAGGGAGTCATTACTTTGAACTTAATGTTTATAATAATAAACATAATAATAACCTACAGACATCTGGTCCAGATAGGCCTGGTGGCCTTTGCCTTTAATTCCAGCACTAGGAAGGCAGATACGGTTAGATTTTTGTGAGTCTAGGCAAGTGTGGTTAAGTCCAAAGTATCAATACTGCAGAACTGAGAAATGTTTATTTTATTATTTT